ACCAGGACTCTAAAGACTTGTCGCTCCGGCAAGGTGATCGGCCGGTCAAAATCGGAGATTGCAATCGGAGCATCTCCACTGACAACTCGACTGACACTGACAGGCTCGAGTCACAAATTTGATGACTTGTGACTCCACAGAAAAAATGATGGAAAGGCTTGGACTCAACTTTGGACTTAAGGGCTTATGACTTGAGATTTGACTCGGACTTGCAATGTTTTGACTCGACTTGACTTGGACTCGCCAAGGAGTGACTTGTTCCCATCCCTGGAGCTAACTAGAGCAGGCCGGAAGTGTTGTGGAGAGCATTTACGCCCCTTGAGTGGTGTCATTCGTCGGTGTGCACAGTCCCAGCTGAGCTTCCTCAGGAACTCTGGTGGCTGAACCTATGTAGACGCATAGAAAGATGTGCCTCTGCTTCAGCAGAAGCTCACCAGCTGACTGGTACAGAAATGAATGTCTGATCTTATACATACGCTGTGGGTATATGCTTATGCTAAGCCATGAAATACCTAAAAACAGTGAATATTCACATTGGCTTCCGGAAAATGTTAATCAGGTTGCCTTTAGTGAGGTGCGGTAAGCAGGCCTGTTTCACTATGGTGTGAAGCTTAATCACCGCTTCAGATGAGCACGGTGAGCAGATTCCTCCCATAAACCCCCTCAGACCTGGCAGGCTTGCAGTTTGACACTAATCTGTCACTTCTAAGAGTGCAGCTTCATGTCCACTGACACCTTTCGGTTAATTAACGTCCTTGATTTATGTTTTGAATATTGTGTTACGGGGAGGTAATTAATCAGTTCAACGGCTGCTTCTGCTGAATGTGAATGTGTCTCTCTGGCCTGCCTGGGAAGGGGTGATTTTAAGGTCTTCTGAAGGTGGCACGCTCGGGGTCTGCTTCAGACTTTTTATAGCAATAGGATCCAGTCTGAGTAGCCAAAAGCCTGCTGGTCATGTGATAGGGGTGCCAGAAGTCTGGCTGTCATGTGATAGGGGTGCCAGAAGTCTGGCTGTCATGTGATACGGGATGCCTCACTGGTATTTATTACCTGCCTCAAAATAATCAGGCGAGTGTTTTTTTTACTATCGTCAGGTGCTAAAACGTTTGGGCATAGGTCCCGTGTGTGACGGACGAGTGTCTATCTCTAAACGGCCGCATTGTATTCTCAGTCTCTGAACCATGAACATTTCCTACAGCAGAAAAGTTCTGGAATTGCTCGACCTGTCTGCTCCTCTGCATGGGAGGAGGTGGCAGGAGTTAGTGGTGCGTGACCAGGCCTCCTCTCGCTCCTGTTGCAGTCGCGCTTGCATTTTTTATTTTATCTCCCTGGTTTACGGTATTTGGTATGGTGTGTCCCCTCATGGTATAGAGTTGAAGCGGCGTTTCCTATATTTGACACTATAAAAGTGTTAGGAATTTGTCAGTTTCTCTCCGCCGAAGAGGACATTGCGTTCCGGCAGCTGGTGCTTCCCTTTGAGAAGTGTTGCTTGCATGTGTTAGTGTCTCCACCTTTGTTTACCGACATGGCTGAAAGATCTGAGTTTTCCCATAAGCGACAGACATCCAGTCAGACTGTCTTAAGCGTGGAGGTTATTGATTCTTTATATTACCTCTTCCATCTTCACTAGAAGACAGCTGTTGAAACATTAGGTATGTTAGGCACTGCTTGGAGATCTCGTGTCTAAAACGGTGCAGACCCTAAGATTTCCCTTGAACTTCTTGGTTGCGGAGCTCTGCGTTGAAGCCCTACCTCCCAGAGACACACGTGGAGATGAATTGAGACGGCAGAGTACAGGGAGAGAGGAATTGATGCGCTTCATGTTACATCATGTTTTTTCATAGGCTGCAAAGCGTCCCCTCTCATTAGCCAAGGGGCAGAATCACATGACGCGTCTGAGGGCAGTAAAGGGAAATGTGTTCTGTAATTATACATCCCAGCCTGATATTATCCTATTCAAATTCCAGCGGCTGTAGGAAATGCGGACTGGAGCTGTCAGTCCTGCCATTTTGTCACCTCTCTGTGCTAATGAGTGCACTCTCCTTTGTTAGCTTAGTCCTTGTTTGGTCTAATCCCAGAATGGGGGTTGCTGGCTACCTGTCATCTGTCTTTCAGACCCTTGGCTGAGCAGGCTGGTCTGGGGTGACTTGTGGGTTGGGTTTAGCTGGGGTTTATGTGGCTCGGCCTGGGACACGTGTTCTAGTCTTACTCATTGTTCAGAAAGAGACAGTACTGGTTTGGCCACTATGGGTAAAAATATCTTGCGTTCTGAATGGGTTTGTGCTGCTGTTGCACAATTCATGACGTGAAGCCGTTTGTCTCTTTGAGGTCTCATTTTTCTTTTTCTTTTTTAATTGGATGCATACTTTTAAGTAAACTTAAAACCAAAGTTGCTCGTCTCTGGTGACGTGACCAGCTCCGCCCCGACTTCCCTTCCGTTATCAGCCTGAGCCCCAGCTGTGCTCTGACTATCGATGTCCCGGGTCCAGTGGCGCTAGCCTGTGCTTGTCACCGAGCAGCTGCATCGCCCACACCAGTTAACGCACACGCACAATTGTCCCTTTCACGGCTGCGGAACCTTCCACAGGCCGGCAGGGAGGAGCGGCGGGGCCGACCAATCAGCCGGCATCCCCTCACCGCCTTCCCCACTGTATATCCGTACAGGACACTCCGCGCATTCCGAGGATTTAACCGAAACCCACACAATGCAGCCTGTATTCCTGCTGGTTGTCAGTTCCTAAACAAAGGGTTCACCTCGCTTGGCCTTCCCAGAAATCCTTCTCCCTAAAAATAGCTCTGCTCTGATCTCGTATGTCTTCATTTCCACTTGGCCAGCCAGCAGTGCACGGCCTCAGCAGGGCTGTGGAATTCCGTCCGTGAAGTGGGCGAGCGACACATGGAGGGAATCCGAGCCCTTTACCCTCTTCCCCATTAGCACCCTGCCAGGCTATCCCTCCTGGCACACGCCCTGACCACCCTCTGGCTCGCCTGACGTGTACCAGCTTTGGACTCCTCTCACAGATGGCATCTGGCTTTAGGAATGTACCTTCATAAATGTTTTGGGAGATTAAAGGCCTCATCCGTGCATGAGGGCTGATTACATTTCTGCTTCGCTTACTGTGTGGTATGACCCCTGCTGGTGAACGCAGAGTGTCTGCTGTGTCTCAGTAACATTATGGAAATGTTTATTGTTATGGCATGGGGGTGGGCTAGATGTACTGTGAAGTTTCACCACTTCCTCAGGAAGACGAACTACGGGTGAAACGAGTGGCTGCTCCTTGATAAAGGCGTGTGTTGCCATGGTAATAATTCATGCTGAGGTACACACTGCTGACTGACTGTTTTTATCCTTTCACTGTTTCTGTTGTGACCGTCTCTGGGTGTAACGGGTCTATACCTGTCACACGCTCCATAACTATTAGTAAAACAATTTGGTCATCATCATTGGGAAAAACTCCAAACCACCTGTTTTATTTTACTCTCTTCTACCTATGGATTTTAAAACGGCATGATAAAAATCAAAAAATATTTTTAGGACATAACGCCCAGCCCTAGCGCGCGTGTGTGTGTGTGTGTGTGTGTGTGTTAGTGTTACAACACTGTCCTTTATCTTGCATTGGTCAGTGGAAGAATGGAGGCTTTTGTACTGCAGGATGTCACCGGTTGCTGGTCAGCACCACCTGCCCACTCAAGCGCCTTCCAGTGCACGATTTTTTACTTCTGCTGATCTGGAGTCTCAAGACACTGTGGTCTTTTATAGAATGTTAGCGGCCGGTGACTCATGGCCGGAATGTTTTACCTGAAATCAGCAGGTTTTCTGTGGTACAGGTGTAGTGAAATGCGGCCTCCTTGCGTCTTTGTGCAGCTTTGCTTCTGACACGCTATGTTCAGCTGTCTCTGTCCGGGAGCTCTGCCTGGATGGTCTGTATCAAGTGGCTGCATCTGGAATGTTCTGTGTAGGCCGTCCTGCACACACATACCAGGAACCATGTGCAGGGCAACATTCCACCACCACGTGGCTCTGTAAAGTAGCACAGGAATGTGTGTGTGTGTGTGTGTGTGTGTGTGTGTGTGTGTGTGTGCGCGAGCGGGTTTACCTATCCTTATGGGGACACAATGTCCCCATAACGTGATAAATATCCATTTTTTCCCCTTATGGAGACGGTTTGCTGGTTCCCATAAGGGAAAACTCTATTTTATAAAAATTGATGACTGCTATGAAAAAACTAAAAATGCTTGGTTACTTTTGGTTATGGTTAGGGCAGGGTGGGGGTTAAGGCTGTCATAGTTAACTTTAGCATTTTTCCCATAGAAGTGAATGAGCAGGCCCCATAAGGATAGATATACCTGACGTGTGTGTGTGCGTGTGTGTGTGTGCGTGTGTGTGTGTGCGTGTGTGTGTGTGTGTGTGGCGGGGGGTGGGGGGTTCTCTGTCACTTCTCTCTGTTGTATTTGATACGGTTTGATATTCCTTTGGTTAGCCCATATAACATGGGGGTGATTGATCAAGGAGGCTGGTTCTACATTTTGTTGTACTTGTGTTTTCTCGCCTGCACAATGAGGTTGGAAAAAAAATCCTTGATTAGTACTGTGCCAGCTCAGCTAACAGCATCTCCAGAAGCCAGTTTCCCCAGAATGATGAATGGTGGCAGGACAGGCGTGACCAGTTGGGAAAAGTGCCAACACGGAAACGAGAAGCCCGTCTTCCATGAGTTACCTACGGGAAAGTGGTCATTAATGTAGCTACTCATGGTCACATGATGTAGCAGTTCTTGGTTCAGTCCCACTCACTTGGAGGACTGTGGTTCTTTTGAATGTTTGACTTTCAGTTAAGGCCACATTTTCAGAACATCACTAATGCTCCATGCGCGCTTATGCAAACATGCATGAATTTGCCACACCTGGAATTCAAACTATCCCATTCCCGTAAGATGTAGGCTCCTGTGATGGATTACTTGAGGCTGTGGAGGGTCTCATGTGGCAGTGTTCTTGTGTTGCAGCTGTTTGACCGCGTGCGGGAGGACAACCCGGACTTCCACAAGAAGGTGGTACCGGTTAGCAGCGAGCTGACCCAGCCCGGCCTGGCCATCAGCCCACAGGACATCACCAAACTGGCCGCCTGCGTCAACGTAGTCTTCCACTGCGCCGCCACCATCCGCTTTGATGAGCCTCTCAAGTGAGTGTTACTTGTGGTTTCGGAGAGACTAACTAAACCCCTGCTCACTCCAGCAAACTTAGATGATTATCATGCATTTTTTATTTATTTATTTTTTTAAAACCACTTGGATGATTTACTGGAACATTTCAGAGGACACGACTACTCTGCTTCTGGGAGTTTAACCAGCACCCCCCCCCCCCCAGTAATGGGTCATCCCCTCAACTGGGAATTGACCCTGGAGAGTTCCGTATCTTAACTTCTGGAAAGGGCTCATCCACTAATTGTGTCCTCGAGCTTGGTTTTGCTATATTTCCGTTGGAAAGTGTACCTCTTCTGAATGCTCTACAGTCCCAAGCCAGCAGGTCCACCCACATGATCCAGACAGGAAGACAGTAAGAGAGGTCATTATTAAAGTCAGGTGTTCGTGCTGCGGATCTGCAGTGGGGGTGGCTTGATGATCCGAAAGCTAGGAAGTGTGTGGTTATCTGTAGCCGAGCTGACCGTTATCATATCCATTGGGCGCTTTCACACTGAAGTTCTGGAGCCTTGTTTCTGGTTCCGAGTTCCTGGGTTGTCTCAACTGGGAACTTTTTTTTTTTTTTTTTGTAGCTCCTGACCACTTTTGTGTGTCACTTTCACACCTAAGAACAGGTACTGGGACCTTTATGCTAAATGCGTTTTTTGCATGCACCATAAGTTAAACTTCACACACAATTTCATATGAAACTACACCTCCACCCCAAAACAATGGGAAATAAACAAGAAGTTTTGTTAGTTATTGGGGGGATTAATCACGATTAAAAACAGGGCCTTTTATTTATTTATGCAACCTGTGGCGCATTTACAATTCAATGCTAAATCTGACCACTAGATCGATCTTTAGTTTTCTGCAGAATAAACGATGTAACATTATCTCGCGTTTTTCACCGCTTGCACTGGCAGTTAATAAACAAAACATATGTTGGTTACAACAACAATAAACAATAACATTTTCCAATGCATAAACACAAAGTCGCAAGTAAGAGGGTATTTATTTATGCAGGAAATGTAATTGAGGTACAAAAATGAATTCCGTCTGCTGAAGTTTTGCTCCACCAGTACTGTCTCTGCACTTCCGCATAACTTACAAGTTAACGCCATTGCTTGTGGTCAACCAGTCAGCAAGATATCACTGTAGGTGCCTCCCGGGTAGTGTTTGTGTTCGGACAACAAGTACCTAGTCGGGAGTAGGGAAGGGTTCCAGACGCTGCCTTTGAGGAACTATAATCGGGCCGAGTTCCTGCAGTGTGAACATGACAGAAGTTCCTGGTTCCGGGAAAAATGTTCTGGTTCCTGAAAGTTGCTGCAGTGTGAAAGCATCCATTGTTGACTTACTTTGAGGTGATACAAATTTACCTGGATGTCAAGCTATTTCTTAAGCTTGACACCAGGTTTAGCAAGGTGTTAATCAGCCATTGGATTTGGATAAATGGCTTTTGTTTAGCCCTTGTTTTCATCAGTATGACTCTGTAGGCTGACTTGGGTCTAACGACCTACAATTCAGCTCCCTTTGAACAAAGTGGAGTGTTTAGGGTGGTGGATTTTAGGGTAATCACTGCATGCAAGGGCCTGTTGAGGGATCTTGCTGCATAGTCCAGTCTCCTTGGTGGTTTCTATTTAAAGCCGTAATTGTTTAAGTGACTTTTCCCTTTAGATGCAAACACTCACTTGCTTCTGAAACAGTCAACTGAGTTTTGTGCATCTGACTGAGGACAAACTGCTTATCTGGACAAGGGCTTAAGTGCTGTACTTACCCTGGAAGCATACAAGACACCCCATAATAAGCAGAGTTGTGAGAAGCGGGCACTGCACCATCGCCTCTCTTCGATTTGTTCTTGTATAGAGGCGCTGTGTTGAGATGATGGAAACGACAGGCCTTGGTATGTTTGCCTTCGCAAAGACCTTGAGGATAAGTCTTGGTCTCGCGTACATTGGGTGCAAGGAAGCTTAATGGGCACTGTGGTATATGACTGCTGTCTTCTGGAGGAAAAGCATTGTTTGACTGATTCATTCTCCACTTGGGACATGCCAGGGTTCTGGCCTGTGGTCCTTGTCACTCTCATGTCAGAGTGGTCCCATGACTGGTGGAGATTTAAGCCAGCCAAAGCCGCCTTCTCTTTGCAGTTACTGTTGCTCTAATCCCATTAATCATATTTTCCTCATACTGATATGGTATGTTCTAGAAAAGACATCTGAATTAAAGTGGAATCTAGACTGGAGGTATGGAGGAGGGAACACTGTGTTCTGGTCCAGTGTCATGTGCCCCCTAGTTGTGATGTGCTGCCACTGAACCCTCTGCTCTCTTCATCCACCTCTCCATCAGACACGCCCTCCAGCTAAACGTCATTGCCACGCAGCAGCTGTTGAGTCTGGCCAAGCAGATGCAGAACCTGGAGGCCTTCGTCCACATCTCCACCGCCTATGCAAACTGCAACCGTAGACATATCGATGAGGTCATCTACCCCCCTCCCGTGGAACCCAAGAAGCTGATTGACTCTCTGGAGTGAGTACTGAGTAGCCACGGGTTGATCCTTCCCTCTGCATGTTACCCACAATGCACCTCTGCTTGTACATTACTCTCGTCTTGTACAAGTTCAGAGCAGCACAGGCTTAACCTTGCTGTGTCGCCCTAACCCCAGGTGGATGGACGATGGCATGGTGCGTGAGATCACGCCCCGCCTCATCGGGGAGCGACCCAACACCTACACGTACACCAAAGCACTGGCAGAGTGTGTGGTCCAGCAGGAGAGCGACAAGTTGAGTGTGGCCATCATACGGCCTTCCATCGTGGGTGCCAGCTGGCAAGAGCCCTTTCCGGTGAGCATCCTGAAGCTGCCACCCTCACCCAATGACCCGGATTCATGTACACATGTCATACTGGTGATGAAACACCATTCACTTTGCTCATTGGTTGAAACTTGTGGCAATCATGACATCATCAGCTACTTTCACTAAGGTGGGCAAAGCTTGTTTTTAAGTTCTTTTCCGAGACACTCTGTGGGTAAATCTAAAGGTTTATGGTCTTTGGCACCATGACCCACTCATAGCTGTAATTCCATTTTTGTTTTACGCTCTGGTGTTCATTGATTGAGGCTGTTGATGTCCATTCCATGCCAAAGGTTTCATAGTGGCTGCGTTAGCCTGATCTCATGGTCATCACTAACAACGAATGGTCTGGTGCTTTACATCTCCCTGGCACTGGGCTAGGAGCTTGCAGAAAAGGCTGTTGGTTGCTGTGGTCAGCAGACTTCTCCCCGGTGGTTTTCATGGCTCAGGATGCCTGTAGTTTCTAATGTGCTTTTGCAGCTGGTGTATCAGAGCTGTAATCCTGAATGATGGCGAATGGTAACTGCTGGATTAAAAGGACTCTGATAGCAAACCGCTGATGTGTGTCGCTTGAAGGAGTCTGGCTTGTACGAAGCAGCCTTTTGCTGTAATGGCTCCGTTTTCTGCCCTAAAGAGGCACGAACCGGACCCTCGAGGTTTCCTGCTTGGCATCACATTAATGATGCTGTGGCCTTAGCAGGGCCGATCCTCGATAAAGGCATAAGAGGCCATAATTAACACAGGGGGGCCAAACTTATCCAATGATGTTTTGAGTCGGTGAGTGACGGGCCAGTCAGCTTTCAGCTGGGACCAGTGCCCCTGTGGGCCCGTCCCAATATATATGCTCCTGAGCCTTGCATTTAGTTTGCCACCCGGAAAGGGTGTGTTATCGGTAATGAAAGTGTTTGTTTTCATGGCATGATGGATTTGTCTTGATTTAAATAATGTAGAAAAGCCTGCTGGTGCTTCAGTGTGCCCAGGCTGAAGGGCCGGCTTGTGTCAGAACGGAGGGTCCAGCTGGTTCTGGCTTGAACCCGGGTCTGACATCAGCAGGTGTCCCACCTGCAGCCCAGAGAGCGCTTGTTAAATTGGTGATGTGACGGGTGTCATTGGAGGTGTCTGGTTTCACGGCCTGCAGTGTCCCTGGGGGCTGCCAGTGACATTGTGCTTAATGGGGGGGGGGGGGCGTAAATCCCATATGCAAGGCTAGACAGGCCACGTGGCTCCCCTACCGGCGCGGGACGAGTTTTGCGCAATACAGTGCCTGTCCTTCCCTGGGGAGGGAGGCGGTTGACGTTTATACACGGGCGTGTCGTGGGACTATTACCATGGCAACACTGCCTGTTCTGAGATGCTCGTTCCATGGGATGTTTCTGACGGTGGAATGTGGGGGAGGATGAGCCATTGCTAATGTAATTTATTACAGTGCGTTAAATATGTTTTACTTCAGTTCATTAGCTGATGAATAATTATATTCCGTTACTTTGCAGGTTAGTTTTCCTGTTTTGTGCAGATGTGTATTTAGGTAAAATGACTGTGACTTGGTATGTTGCTAAGTGCTTGACTGTGACTTGGTATGTTGCTAAGTGCTTGACTGTGACTGCAGGGCCAGGTGCTGAAGCTTGTGGCCCGTTGGGTCTGGGAGGGGCAGCTCACAGAACACGCACAGGGTGGGGCGCTCAGAGATTCCTTTAATCCTTTATCCCTGTGAGGGTCCCCTGTAGCAACCCGCTGTCCCCGACAGCCCATAATGCTCATGAATAACCCACAGTCTGAGAAACACCTCAGTCTCTTACATGTGGTTTCATGCATTTTTAATGATCTAATCGATGTCTGTAGTTTTGTTTCCCCCCCCCCACCGACGCAGTAAGACCCTGTGTTTTCACTCCTTAGGGCTGGATCGACAACTTCAACGGGCCGAGTGGGGTCTTCATCGCGGTGAGTCCCTTCCCGATGGACCTTTGTCTCTTTGGCAAGCCTAGAATGGTTCTGGGAACCAGTCGCCTTTTGTGAGGATCTGGGTCCCACCTTAATTATGCCCCCCTTCCCCTGGCTGCCGCCCCCCCAGGCTGGCAAAGGCATCCTACGCACCATGAGGGCCAGCAATGACGCCGTGGCCGACCTCATCCCGGTGGACGTAGTCATCAACCTCACCCTGGCCGCCGGGTGGTACACGGCCGTCCACAGGTGACTGACGACCGCGCCGCCCACCCCCGCGCTCACCTCGCCTCTTTCACCCTTAGTCAGATAAGCGGTTTCTTGGTATTCCATAAATGGCGGCACTGTTTCAGAGCATTAGTCATCAGTTCGCGGGGCTGTGGGCTGGCAGCTGGCCTCGCTTAATTGTACCAGATGCCTCTTCCTTAACCGAGTCGCCTGCGTACCTCTGCAGAGCTGCTCTGGGCAGTAGGCCCCTACGTTTCTTAGGGTTACACAGGGGCGGGGCCCCCGGGGCACTGGCCACCAGCTGAAAGCTGATTGGCCCTTCGCAGTGCCCCTCCCCTGTCAGTCACCAGTTTCAGAACATATCATTGGCTAATAAGCTTGGCCCCTCTGAAATATGCCCTTTCTGGCCCCCGCCTTAATAAATCCTGGAATCGCCCCTGCTACATTCGCAGCCATTCCTGACAGCGTGCCCCATAAATGCTACAGACAGAGTCGTGGTCTGCGCCTCAGTCTTATTTCTGCTCTCCTCAGGAGGTCTGGCCTCAATAACACTAACAAGTGTCTTTTATTAAAATGTAGGCCCATGAAGCACATTCTGAAGAACATCCATCTTCTTAGCCTGAAGTGGAGGTATCTTCAATCTGACTTCTTTCTTCTTCCCCACCCCTTTTCTTGTTCAGACCAAAATCTGCACTGGTGTACAACTGCACAACGGGTGGTATCAACCCCTTCCACTGGGGAGAGATTGGTGAGTGTGTGAGATGCTGGGTCGCCACGGCAGCACTGGTGGGGGTGGGCTCCAGTGAGAACTGCACCATGTGATGTCCACTTTCAAGGGGAGGGGGGTCGCACTGTGTTGTTACCCCGGGAATTTTAAGCATTTTATTTCTAAGCGATGGATACGGCAAGGTGCTGATGTTTGCACGTTGCAAGTTAATTTACGCAATCTGGGTGGTGATTGTGCGCCCCCTGCTGGTGCGCTATGAGTCTACCTACATTGCTAAGTGCTGTGACCAGGGTGGGGGGGAGCTGGCAGTTCAGGATCCGTTGGACTTGGCGGACTTTTGTATTTTTCCAAACATATTGATGAAATGAATAAAATAAAGGTAAATCCCTTGTGATTGGAGCCCCGTACACCTGAACTAAAGCCTCAAACCGCTCAGTCCCCAGCCGGTGAGTGTGGGCACAGAGAGTGACTTCACGGAGCTGTGTGATCGAGACGTATCACCGTGCTCTGTCTGGAGGGGAATGGGGGCCTGCGTCAGTGAGCAAATGGCTGTACAGATGAAGGGTAGGAATGCGGATGCTTCCGTGTTGATTGACTGTGTACCCCGTTGGGTGGCGTGCCAGCTGCGATTGGATAGTGAGGCCACAGGCCCCCACCCCTCCTTTTGGAGATGGGTCCGGCTGTTGGGATGGTGAAATGATACACAACCGACAATTCCGGTTAGGACAGTGTTTCAAAGTCCGGTCCTCGGGGGACCTACCCCCCTCTGTCCGTGTTTTTGCTCCTTCCGACATCCCTGCCAGACGGTCCACATTTTTGTATTTTGCCAACCGGGAGCTGGGAGGGAGCAAAAACCTGGACTGTCTGTGTGTCCCAGAGGACCGGATTGGGAAACACTGGGTTAGGAGATGGGTGTGGCAGACAGTCGTGCCAGGAGATTTCCTCCAGGATGTCCATCCGCAGGGATGGGGCTGGGAGGCTGGGCCTGGATAGCAGGCTGTCAGCTTGCTGGGACTCTTTAACAGTCCTGTTAGTTTCTGATACGTGTCCTCGTATCATTCACTAATTCACTTCCCGAGGCATTTTGATGTTTAACTTCTTACTATAATATCTGTAAAAACAGTATTGAATTACTTCTTTTTTTTTTTTGTTAGTCCTACACTTACCGGGGCAGTTATCTAAGGTCTCCTATCCGATCGTTCCATAAAAAACTTTTTCTCAATATCAGTATAAATTTTCATTTATAGATCCAGACCAAGCTGATCAATATGTTTTGGTCTCCAACAGTAAACCATAGGAGTCTGTCAGCTTCCTGACCCCAGTCCGTTCCGGTGCCCTGAGCAGAGCAGGTTCCTGTGCTAGAATTACAATGGGTATCACCATGGCAACTGACTTTGGGTTTCAGGTCTGCTAAGGTCATGTGATACTCCTCTTAGCCTTCTGTGCTGACATCATGGTGGTGGCATGTCTGTCTGCCACTTCTCACTTGGATTAGAGCCCATCAGAGCTGTAATGGGGGAACCCCTCCCCCCCCCCTTCCCCGTGCACTATTTGGCAAATGCCTGTTATTGGATCTGCGATATCTCTGACAGGTACCGGAGGACACGGCAATCTGCACTGTCACCGTATCCCCCCCTTGTCATGCTTCCAGGGTGCCGGGAACGGCAGCGGTTCTCTCCTTGTAACACAAGAGGAGCAGGCCAGTGTTGACAAGCTGATCGCCGTTTTGTTTTGCTCATGGGAATCTGCGGACAGATCTCGGCCTGATTTTTCTCTGAATCTTGGCAGAGCGTTCCGGAGTGGAAATTCAGCTCCCCCCCGTGGCCCCCGCCGATCCCTCCGTGCAGAGACCTGTGTCTTCTGGGGTTACCGGTCTGCTTCTGCGTGGCCATGCTGCAGCTAATGCAGACGCCTGCGGCTTGTCAGAACATATAATCGAATCTCCAGTGGCCTTTTTTTTTTTTCTTTCTTCGTCGACAATCACGGCCCAGTCTCGCATTCGTAATTAGACCTGACTGTTGATCAAGGCAAGAAAATCCCAGTTGAAAAGCTGGTACTTGTCCAGGCACAGGAGGAAGGCAGGGAATCGACGGGTAGCGAAGGCTGGCCCCCCTGGCACCTCCCGTCCCGCCCCACAGCGGAGTGAGGATCCACAGACGTCGGTGCCCGTTTCCGATATGTGTTGTGTCTTTTGATGATGTCATTAATGTGTCTCTCTGCATACTCACACCCAGGCTGCTCAGTCGTGTCCTTAAAAGGGAATTTAAACGAATCCGAGTGTCTGTCCAACATTGTTTAAACCCTGCAGTGGGAGGGCATCCTGTTTACATCATTGTCTGACTTTCAAATGCAGCTGTTGATTCGGCGCAAACCTGGCATTAAACCTGCGCAAACCTGGCACTGCAGCTAAGAACTTGGTAGATCCCTGTGGTTCTGTTGCTTGGAGAACCAGAATTAATGTCCCTTTTTTAGTAATGATCCTTGGTTAGATGGAAAATCATTATTCTGATAAGCGTACAGTTCAGACCAGAAGAGAGCTCAGTACGGCTCCCAAGTAGTTTGACTGGGGCTTGGTTATGGAGCAACATGGTCGGGGTTAGCCTGTAATCTGCTCCGTTATCTCTTATTGAAATTGTATTATTGTTTGAGTTTCATGTAATTAAGTCCTCCTGAGATTTGTGGAGAAGGTATTTTATTCTGCGCAATGCTTGCGTTGGGCTAATTTTATCTCCCGCAACTGAAGGCTGAACAGAAATCTTTGCTGAAACACTTAACTTGGGATTTCTGTTAGATCTGCACTCTCGCACAAGAAGCAAGTGTTTTCTGCAGCTGTTGCGGCCGAGGAAACTATGAGAAGCAGTGCGTGAGAACATGCCTTTGTGGAGTCAGTTATTAATCTCAACTAGTTGGATTTTTATTTTATTTTTCTTCTCCAAAGTGCAGGTGATTCTAGAGATACTTTGCTGGGGGAGGAACAGTTTCAATCCAGGCTCTTAATGTGCCATTCTGGTGGAAGCCTGATGCAATCAGCCTTGAAGGGGGGAGATGAATCCCATACTGGCCATTGTTTTTCTTCAGGGTGCTTCTGTGGTCATGTTCTCATTGCCCCCTTTGAGGAGGTCCAGGAGAAAACAACAGAATCCCCCCCTCTCCTTGCAGAGATGCTGTTTTCCTTTACTGGTTGGGACATTGATGGATTGCCCCAATAAGAGAAGCCAAGCAGGGGGGGAATGGAGACAAGGCAGCATTACCCCAGAGCACTTCCCCTGCGTGTGCCAGACCCAGCCATGTCCCGATCACAGCTCCGCTCGTGCACAGCTTATCCGTGGGCACGTGACCCTTGTCTGGCCTTCTGTTAAGAATTATGTTAACAGCAAATCTGCCAAATCCCAGCTCCTGTTCGAAGGAGTAGCACATGGGCGAAGCGGTTAAGAAATTGGCTTGATTCACTTGAAATAAATGTGTCACTCTTTAGCGTCACGCCCTTCCTGAAAGACTGCGGTGAGTTAGCGTTAGTGGTTGGCGTGTGACAGCCTGTTGGGGGTGGGAAGTGCCGTTTCTGGGGAGGTTAGGCGGGCAGACAGCCGGGGGCTCGAGCTGTGCAGACATCTTCATCTAGATCAGGCCCAGGGTCCTGCAAGGGTGTGCGGGGCCTCTGCAGCGCTGCTGGGGCTTCTTGGTACATCTGGGCTGGTGAAACTCCATGAAGGGAACAATGGTACTTGCTGTTTTCCTTTACTGGTTGGGACATCGACAGATCGCTCCAATAACAGAAACAGGAGTAGAAGCAGGGAGCTGGGATCAGGGATCTGGCCGGAAATGCAGATTTTTTTATTTTTGCAACGTGAAGTAATGGAAATAGTTGTATAACAATGTGAACTATCAAAGGCCATGAAGTGTGTTTCTACTTGTAGATCCACATCCTGAATGTGATTGGTGCACAGACGTCCTATGGTCCCTGCTTCTGGTAGTCATGTGACTCTGGCACTAAAGTTTCTGCCATTTCAGACCAGATGGACTGCAGTGCATTCAAACCAGAAACTTGCACCATGTTATTTCACTGAATCACTATTTTCTATAATCACTTCTGCCACATCCTGTTTTAACGTTCATCTAAACGACGTCAACCTCTTTGACAGAGCACCATGTGATGTCCACCTTCAAGAGGAACCCGCTGGAGCAGGCCTTCCGGAGACCCAACGCCAACATCACTTCCAATTATCTGATCAACCAGTACTGGATCCTGGTCAGCCACAAGTTCCCTGCCCTGCTCTACGACCTCTACCTGCGCCTGTCTGGGCAGAAGCCTCAGTAAGGAACCACTTCCATCTCAGTGCTTAAACATGCGGCAGGCAGTGTGAAGAACACTCCACTAGGGGGTGCTCTGATTGTGGCTACTGATCCATAATGCTTCTGGATTCTTCCTCTCTAGGATGATGCGAATCTTCAACAGGCTGCACAAGGCCATTGGTCTGCTGGAGTACTTCAGTAGCCAGGACTGGGAGTGGAACTCTGACAACGTGAGCATGCTGATGGCCCAGCTGTCCCCAGAGGACAGGAAGGTGGGTCCTCACATCCCATAATGCTGTGCAGTATGTCACAAAGTTGATGACTTCAAGCCCAAATGACTGCTGTATGCAATGAGCTCGATGTAACAAATGAACAGATGTGCTTGTTCTGCATACCTCTGCATTTCTAAACGATTGGCACGCAGATTGTGCTCTGAGCAATTCACACTGCACTTACATTGTTGGACTACGACCGATCTTGTTCCTTAGATGTTCAACTTTGATGTCCGCCAGCTGAACTGGCCTGAGTACATCGAGAACTATTGCATTGGCACCAAGAAGTACGTGCTGAACGAGGACATGTCGGACATCCCAGCAGCCAGGCAGCACCTGAGAAAGTGAGCCCCCCCACCCCCACGGCTTCTCAGTCGTAGATGGAGCTGCTGCTCTGTCAGACGGAGCTGAACCCCATGTATAAGTGCGGCTTGGCTTCTTGACCACTCTCTCTCTCTTCTGACCTTCTGCAGGCTGAGGAACATCCGCTACACCTTCAACACCCTCTTGCTGATCTTCATCTGGCGCGTGTTTATTGCGCGTTCTCAGATGGCCCGCAACATCTGGTACTTCGTGGTGAGCCTTTGCTTCAAGTTCCTGTCCTACTTTAAGGCCTCCAGCACCCTGACCAATTGAAGAGGCAATTGGTTCACCTCGCGCCACCAAGTCCCCTACCCCCCCCCACCCTGCGCCAGCCACACCCCCCATCCTGAATGAAACGCACAGCTATCACATGGTTGCAGTCCCACCCAGTCGGTTGGTCCTGAAGACCTGTCTGATTGTGTCAGGGATCTTGCTGGAGGGATGTGGGCTAGGAATTGGCGGTGGGGGTTCAAGAATTTTGTGTTACGTTGGCCATTACATGGCTTCATCTGGCTGTTCCCCTCCCCCATAAGCAGCCATTTGTAATTGTTGCACTTCAAAGTCTTTCACAATGTTCGATTCCCGTTCCTCCCTTGCACAATGGTTTTATCGTAAGGGATAAATTATATATGCAACTATAATCCCATTGTATGTATGCTCCTCTCTCCCAGCCCCCAATCAGTTTCGGCGTCTGTTCATTGTCCCCATCCTGAATCCCAGATCCAATGCCTTGAAACGGTGTCTCTCTACAACATCCTATGACGTGACGATGCCGCTTCTTCTGAAGAACTGTGACTGAATATAAAGGCTGTTAATGTCAGGCGTCTGCAGTCACTCGTCACTAGGAACAGAAGCGGTTACAGTTAGGGACTGTGTCTGCAGTCACTCGTCACTAGGAACAGAAGCGGTTACAGTTAGGGACTGTGTCTGCAGTCACTCGTCACTAGGAACAGAAGCGGTTACAGTTAGGGACCGTGTCTGCAGTTACTCGTCACTAGGAACAAAAGTGGTTACAGTTAGGGACCGTGTCCGCCCCGTTCGCTCTGGCTGAGGACCCAGCCGCCTCATGGTGGAGTGCAAATGAGCTTTGGTCGCCGTCGGCAAGCATTTTGTCAAACGGGGTGTGCAAGCTCTGATGGGTCCTGTAAGTGTTAATCCACACTGCCTGTTTGTACAGCAGTTTATAATGAAATTAAGGTTACTACTTTTTCAACTTTGTATTATTGCAGCAAACGCAAGATTTGTTGTGGGGACAGTGTAAAATATATTATTATATATATAGATATATATATATAATAATCACACAAATCTGGATATAAATGGACGTGTACATATTTAAAGTTAGCGTGTAGACTACCCAGCGGAAAAGCGTATGCTTATCCTAGTTAGCCCTTCCTGAAGACTTCTGTCCTCTGTAGGTAATCGCCAGTCTCTCTGTAAACATCTGACCACCTCATTTTCACAAGGGGAAATGATTTAAAGAGAGCTATATGACTGCATCACTGCCTTCCTGGGCGAACCAAGCGGTTTTGACCTTACTGAGAGAAATGAAGGCAAATGCATTTGTCCCTAGCAGTGGGTTACTATGGCAACTGCAACACTGGCAGGGCTGTGATCAGATTGGTCCTAACAGTCCCCCATGTTGGTGCATTGTTTTTGCATCCCCTCCCCCGCCCCGTGTCCTCGTATCATATGGCACAATGTAGCATCTGATGTGCTCTGAACACCTGGAGATGTCTTGGACAACAGATTGTCATGTGATTGTTAAGTTTTGTGTGCGTTCTGTCCGATCCGTCGCCGTAGTGGCATCTTCTGCTGTACCCCTGCTCTGTCCTTGCCCGTTGCTGCTTGTCATCGTGCAGCTGTCAGATGTCATCACTCATTCTGCCCCTCTGTTCCTGTGCTTGGAAAAAATGTTAATAAACTGAAGCGTCAAAAAAAGATCTGTGTACAAGTCATGCTCCTCCCATCCCCTAAGCGACAGCTGGCCTGAACACGCATCATCTACCCCCATCTCTTCAGCTGCTATGGGGAAAATGTCCTCATTTGAACCCAACCGCCTGACTGATTTTCCTACATTGTATATGGCCATTCCTGTGGTCCCTTCACCTTGTCAGTGTTTATTGTTCTGTAAGTGTTTGGACTGCTTGAGATCCTACAAGGAGTGATGGCCAAAAGCTTCTCGAACCATTTCGTGTATTTTTTGGCCCCACTAGATGGTGCTCTTGGTTTGCTTTGGGGCATGAATTGAGCCCTTTTTTGAATAGAGTACCATCTAGTGGTGTCAAAAAATACAGCAGTTGGTTCATGAAGCTTCATTTGGCCATCACTACCTACATGCAGTGCATCCATGAAAAAGAAATTGTTTTAGAAGCCAGAAGTCGTATCCTCTTCTGTCCACCAGGCATCACCACAGGCTCATCAGGCTCCCATTGTCCATAATCCTGCTTAATATCTAGTTCACCCCAAAGGCAGGGTTATTATACTCTGCTGATTTACATGCATAAACACCAGTTTGTGTTTTTCTCCATCCCACACAGGATTATGCTCTGTCAGACTCTGCCCCTGGTGGCCTTTGGTATGCAAGTTCTGGTCCCGTTGTAATTTGATATTTATGTAAATTTGAGATTGAACTGAGTTTAAAATGAAATCCTGCAACCTGGTGGCCACTAGGGGGAGTCTGTCCCTTTTTTTTTGTGAATGCTCAGATGAGCACAGCTATGCTTCTCCCCCACCATGCACGGGATGCATCCGTGGCTGATGACTGCAGCGCCCCTGGCTTTTCTGAAGTCCGGCATGCTGGTCTGGCAGGCAGCAAGGCCACAGTCCCCCCCCCACCCCCCACGCGCAGCATGGGTGCTAACAAAACGAGTTGCACAGGGCCAAATTTCACTAAGGGTACGTGTGATGCCCACTTTCCTTTTGAAGCTGTTATGGCCACAGTTCAGAAAAGCTTCCATAGTGGAGAGGAGAAAGTCCTATACACTGCCTTTAGCCATTAAGAACTGCACTGTCACTCAGGTGTAGTTCAGTGCAAAGGTATTATTCCATACTGACCTGGATCTAACTTCCAGTGACAGCAGCAGCCAGCAGTAAACATCCTTAGGTGGCACATTAGGGGTTAGTGATCTGCTATTTACTAGGAAAGCACACAGAGCCAGACCCAAACTCCTCTGTAAATCACAGCATTCCAGATATACAACATGAAGCACTCCAGAGAATCACCTTATTGTCTTAAAGGGGGGGTCTGGGGCTGCCTAGACCCCTTACAAAGTAAGCCAAGACCTGTACTGCCCCGGTGAGCTTAAACGGGAAGTCGGTCCACTCTGTTCACGGTCAGTAGGTGGTGGTACCCTCTGCATTAAGCCACTGGACTCCAGTGGCGTCATGGGTGTGTTCTGCTGCAACTGTATGAAATAGTTTTGCAAAGGAGATGTTTTGGGAAGCAGCGGTGGTCATCCTTCATTCTAGATTAAGAGTATAACATCCTTGCATGCACTTTCCATTGTCACTTTTAGTACACGTGACATGTACGCCCTGCAGAAGGGACCCCCCACGATACCACACGGCTTCCTCGCATTTGCACACGCGTGTGCTCTGAGATCAGGCACCCCATGTGTACAGTCAGCATAGCTAAGCCGTTTCAAAGCCATCTTTCAAACTGTAAAATGGTATATTTTTGTGCACCAGGAATGCCCTTTTCTAGAGGGTGAATGTCATATTGTAAAAGTATTCGTTTGGTATGTTGTGTGGTTTTATCAAGTGTATCATCTCTCGTAACCTGTCACGGAAAATAAAAGCGACTACATTTAAAATTGTCATTTTTAAAAAATTAAAACAAGTAAAATGTAATGCGTCTTTACTCTTTAAGTTTTCTTCAGTTTACAAGAAGGGCATCTAGTTTCAGCCAGTGGCATCCCTGAGTACAGTCTGGGAAAACTATGGAATTTTAAAATAGAAAGTGCAGTAGTGATGGCCAAAAACAACGCCTCATGAACCATTTGCAGTATTTTCTGACCCCACTAGATGGTGCTCTTTGTTTACTTTGGGCCACGCTTTGAGCCATTATTTGAATAGACAGCATCATCTAGTGGGCTCAAAAAATGGTTCATAAAGCATCATTTTTTGCTATCACAAATTAGTGGAACCCTGTAAATACCCAAAATAGGAATTTCCTCATATCATTATGAGCTGTAAACAGAAAACCTGATGACATCCACTAAAAAAGACGAGTCTTAAGTTAATTGGGGATGTACTTAGGCAGTGGTGGCTTAATGGTTAGGGAAGCGCACATGTAATTGAGAGATTGCTGGTTCGAATCCCTGACCAGCAAGGCACCACTGTGGTACCTTAAGCAAGGTACTGCTCCCTGGGTGCTGAATTAGCTGCCCTCTGCTATGTCACAATGTCACGTGTGGGTTAAATGCAGAGAACACATTTTGTTTTTGTGCGCTGTGGTGTGTCAACAATGATCACTGAATCTTCAAATTCAAATACTAAAACTTTATAAAACAGGTTTGAGTGTAGCTCAGCAGGTTAGGACCCTGTGCCTGTGAGCAGAAGGTCACTGGTTCAAATCCTGGGATAACAGAGTGATTTTACCATAGGGCCCTTAAGCAAGGCCCCTACCTTCTATTGTTCCAGGCACTGGCTGACCCTGCTAAATAGTGACAGTTCAATTAAAATACAAATTCAGCTGTTTAAGAAAGTGATATTTAATGGGGGGGCATAACCCCCGCACATGCACGGTAAATAAAAAGGCAGTGCATTCTCCATGTCAACAGGGGCTGGAAACGTCAATAGTCTTGACACACAAAAACATCAGATGGCCACAGGCTTCACTATGTGCAGCCCTGCAACTTCACCAGGAACCACATTTTCAGACGTTAATGCGTCAAGAGCATTTCGCACATTTACATGAAGATGATCTCCAAAGGCGAATGTGGCACCCAGTTGACTGGACTGGTGATAAGGTGTCTATAAATAGTTCCAGTTAAAAAAAATTCACTGGGGGGGGGGGGTGGTATATCGAGAACATTTCAATTCCAGTAAGAACAACTTTGTTTAATTTGGAGACGTGAACCACAGCTGATCCGGAGGCCTTTTCGGAACAGTATTCCACTTCCTATTGATTTTGGTCACTTGAAACAGTAGGCAATGAAAACAATTACACTTGTTAAAGTTAAAACAATAAAAAGTGTAGCCACATTTCAACATAAGGACCATATAAATCTCGAGTTCGCCTCAGGGTGCAGAGACATGACTGGGGTAATTCCCCCCTCCCAACTTGGAGAAAATCACCGTCGTTCCTGACATCCAGTTAAAAAGCCACAATGGATACTTTTAAAAATGTGATTAACGATAAACCAAGGAGACGGAAGGAACAAACACGTAAACAGCCAGTGACAGAATGAGATTCAGAGCTAAACAGGCCACTGGAACCAGACCTTTGTTCGGCAGTTTTAGGAAACAGACTCGCATGTATTCCAGACAGGCACCTCGAAAGAAGTGAATCAGCACAGGCCGACTGACAGGCGACTGAAAACGTGGCATTGAAAAGCACGTAGAGAGACAACAAAATACCATGAGACCAACTCGAACCAAGCAGAGGCTTGGAACAGTCTGAAGACCATGATTACATCATGTGAACATGAAATGCTCCTTCATTGCAGGTTTACTGCACATTTATTTTAAATTAAACTCTGACACATACACGCACACACAATCCCAGCTCTCATAATACACAAATTGTAATTCACCCAGCAATCTGGGGGGAAAGAGGAGGAGACAAGGGTTAAAAAAAAAAAGGAAAGTGTACACAGCAGTAACTGTATTTGAAACGGCTACTAAGAATCCAGAGTTTGAGTACCACTGGTTACAGAGAGGACTGGTCTGGGAAATCCATTAGGAAAAGGAGCACGATTAAATGTTCTTGTTTTGAATTTAGCCAATAGAAATACCAAAAAAATTGGCTCATACACCAAATTTAACAGCGACCGTTATAAAGGATAACATGTAAACCTGTTCACAAAAAAAAAAAACCAACTCATGTAGGACGAGTGGGTGGATGGATGCCTTGTGAGCAGGACCTACCCCAGCTGTCTGTCCCCAAACAGTTTATAGGAAAGCGTACAAAACGACTGCCAGTGGGATTAAAAAGCACTTCCGGGGCATGGTGTGCTGCTGCCTGGCGACACGGCCTGCAGGGGGCGCCTCTCTCAGGGAAAGGGGCCGAAGGGGACGGCACTGTCCTGCTAGTGAGTGTGGTTCTCTGTCAGCAAGGGCTCATGGTTATTCAGCTGGCCATCCAGGAGGTGGACCTGGAAAACGGCGAGAAGAAAAACCTGTACAGTACTATGCCAAGGTCTTAGGAAGACAAAAAATGTTTAAGGTTCCTGATCTGGGAAGTAAGGGTAACAACCACACACTTTCATTAGAACGTATTCAAATTAACAGTCAAATAATAAAACCTAACAAGACGTTAATCTGTTCTTGAAAAAAAAAGTTTCACCTTGGATGGCCCCGTGACCCAGATGGATAAAGTGGTATAGATAATGGATGGATGGATCTTGGATGGCTAGAACAGCAGGGGTACCCCAGCTATTCCACAGTTTACCACCAGCTCTCTTAATTAACCTAATTAGTAAAATAACTTGATGAGGTATTGATTAGCTAAACACTGCATGCCAGTGGTTCAGTCAAAAAAAATACATGGATGTATTGAATGGTCGCTGCAAATCCTACAAATGCTGGATTAGAAGGGGTTTTGAAAATCGCTAAGCAAACACAGACAGACAAAAGTCATAGTTTTACACCATCATCGTTTTCTTTGCCTAAAACTTTTGAACAGCATCTTACAACAACAACAGGACATGCAACTTTCAACAGTGAAAATGCTCTTTGTCTTGCACATTGTCTGCCTGAATAGTAACTCTCATTAGGATCTTGCTTTGTTAAAAGCTGTTGTGTATCTCCTGCTGCAATACTGCTTACAGTTGTATCTGGGTCTCTGGTTGGAAGCTCAGCCTAACTGCTCTAACGCCTAGTTGGCTGCAGAGTGTTCCATGTTTGTAATGTACAAAAGCATCTTTTAAATAAATGCAAGTCTGGGTGTCATGGGTGGAGGGAGGGGGGTTGGGGGAAGCTGCAATGTCCCTGACAGCAAGGTGTTATCAAAACAGATGGGGAACTGGAGGAGGGGAAGTTAGCCGATATCACACATTTAACAACACATGGGGTCTAACCTAGACACATATTCATTAAAAGAACATCACAAAGGCCGGTTTCGTTCCAACTGAGCACATCTGAGGGGTTGTCAGGTGCGGAACTGTGAATCAGCAAAGTTCCTAGATGGTGTTGAGGTGGATGGCCGCTATGGGCGATGGGGATGAAGCCGCGATCATTACACACCAGTGCGGGACGGTACCTGCTTAGACCTGTAAACTCCCAGCTTCAAGCGGCAGCAGACGACGTCGACGGTGAAGCCCACAAAGCCGTGGAGCATTCCTAAGCGGGACAGCACAGGGCGGACACATCAGCTAGGGGGCGCTGTGCACAAGTTTGCATCCTCTGATATTTAACATGATTACATGAAGTGTTAGAATTATGGCTGTAACAACTGATTGATTCTATTTGATAAATGATTGTGAAAACCACAATGCAATTTTATCAACTAACATATCGATTCATATCAAAATATCAAAAAAAAAAAAAATCAGAATTTTCAGAGGTTATACATGTACAGAAATTGTTTTTGTTGTTAAAAGTAAATACAAGATGTTTCTTGTGCAGACATTTAAGACATGAATAGTTTTTTCAACATATTCTGTTGTCAAAATGAAAGATTAAAACATTTATTGCTGTCTTTTTGAATTGAAATAAATTCCATTAAAAATAGCCTATGTTTCACAATATCGAAAAAAAATTATCATTTATTACTGAATCAAACTGAATCACAGTAACATTTCAAAATATCACCCGATATTGAAACGCTGCCAGGCAAAATTGAGTAGTATTGTGGCAAACCTTGCAATTTACACCACTTGTTCGAATGGAGAGGGCCGCTTAGTGCACACTGGCACTGAGGGAAGTACCAGGCCCAATCCAGCCCGGTCCAGCCACGTACCTGTGGTGGAGAAGATGCCTCCCACGATGCCACACAGCCGCACCAGGAACTGCCAGAAGGGCATGTGCTGCTCTGTCACTGTCACCATCAGCGAGCTGAGGTCGTACTTCATGAAGATCCCAGAGACGCCGTGACTGCCGGCTGCGTGGTTGATCACGCGCTCCTGCAGTGCGGAGGCGAGGACAGGAACAGGGATCAATGAGGAGGATGGGTCACGCCTCTAAGACATGTGATCCTGCATACCACTGCTGATTGGCTAAGGAGCTCCCCCAGTGGTCTACTATTCAAGCATTCAATTCTAATGTTATTCCCGTTTTTTGATACAACATACGTTTTTCTTTTCATTAGGGATGCAAAGTGTGCATGTAACAAAGAAAAGAGTGAAGTGAAATATGAGCAGGTTTTATGAATGTGACACAGCTCTGGTAAAGCACTGGGAACGTTCTGCCGAAGATCTGGTAAAGCTCAGATGAATCCCGAGCAAAGCCTTGATCGGTGTCATATGCAGACGCACACAGACAAATCCTACCCGCTCTGTGACGGAGTACTGGTGCGTGTCTGCAGTGATCTTATAGGTGTAGAGCTTGGTGGGCACTATCGTGATGAAGTACTGGAACATCTGGTTGTCTGTAAGAGAAGTGAGAGGCCGGCCAGTCAGGAAAGAGACTGCAGTACGCACCCCAAACAGCACTGCGGGCACAAACGCGCAGCAAGCCGGGCACTGTGC